GGCTTCCTCCTTCCTCGGGCCGCCTCGCAATCTGCGCCTTCCACCGCCCTCCGCCGCCTGTTCTTCGCCTCTGTCGCGAGACAACGTAGGCCCAAAGCTCCCTCCCATTGAGCCAGACGGATGAAATGCTTTATTTAAATTCAAAGAGGATTGTTTAGCTGTTGACATTTGAACTCCTGGTTTACGCCAGGATAATGGCTTTTATGCTCCCCTGTCCTGTGCCATTTCCAGTTGCTGTACAGGTTTTACACTTTTTAAAAATTCTCTTAATCGCTTTGCAAACTATCCAGAAAGCCTGCATCATTCGGCAGATTAAAAAATATAATAAATACCTAGATGGATCCTTGAGCTGAACCATGGAGAGCGCCTTGGGGCGGGGGCCGGCTCTGGAGATCGCCGCCGGAACGGCCTTTCTGTTCCTCTTGGGAGCGACCCCTTTCTTCGCCCTGATTCACGGGCTATACGAGCATCACCAGGCGCAACCTTTGCACAAACAATCGGCGTGGTTTTGAAGCCCTATATTCAGACAGAGCCAACTCAAGAAAACAACGTAGCCTGTAAGAGGGAGGGAAGAATCCAAGGAGCACTGCGAAGCATGGAGTACAAAGCCAGCGGGATTATCATCTGCGCCGTCCACAGCTAGGCCAAGCTCCGTACAGCGCACGCAAACCGGTAGCATCGCAGGCATTAGCCGACGGATACTTTCCAACACTACAGTCGCCGTAATTTCTGCTCAACCCCAGGACAACTTTCTGCCAATACCTCGTAATTCTCTGTCTTCCACGGGGGACCCGTCAACGTCACTCATTCTCTTGCTCTCCCATTGCATGTAGTCGTAGAAAATGGAATGCAAAATATTATAGCAAATAAGCATAAAACTATTAGGACTGAAAAAATATTATCTGGCAGTGTGTGCAGCCTCATGAATATGCTTGACATAAATAAATTATATTTATGACTAGCGTGTCCACAGCTCTAAATATCAGATCTACTAGTTAATTATAGATCACAATCTTTCCTCTGGAAAGACTTCTCTCAGACATCTTATTCCTTGTGGTGACACAATCATGAAGAAAACCTTTCAGGGTTATATTGTGTGTGAAAATGGTCTTCACAATGCCGTTCAAGGCTTCTCCTTTTACAATGAAGGGTAGTGACTCAACTCTTGCAATTGCACCGCTTCCTGTTTCATACTCATAAGCATGCAGCTGTTCCGCTAAGGAACTTTCTGAGTAACTATAAGAGGGAAGGTAGAGGATGTCTGCAGGATGGCAGTGACAAAGCTGGGCATATTTCTTCTGCTGCCTGTGATCCTTCAGCGGGTAACCGGTAAGTGGTTTAATTTAAAGCGCGGCACGTCGGTTAACTGAACGATTCCACTGATCGAGAATGTGGTCTAATTTCTTGCTTGCCTGTTCTCCACTTTAAGGACTCCTTGTCTTTGATCTGATGAAATTTCAGTAGCAGAAAGAGAAATGTGAGAGATTTGACTCTGACCAGAACAAAGAAGTTTGTGCAATAATACGGATTCAAGGCTTAATTCTTTATCATCAGAGTTATTTAGATTTCAGGAAAATGTACTAAAACGATGGAAATTATTTTAAATGCTTCATTTTGCCTAAAATTTAAGTTCTGCACTCTTACATTAACTTCAGCAGTTTTATTTTAAAAAAGAGGAATATAATTATTCCTTTATGAATAATACTTTATACAGCCATGGACGTGCCATAAGGTGGTGGTTGATATTGAAAGAAAAAAGATTCAGATTTACCAGAAATTAATGAGAATATGCTAGAAGTGAACACATCCATCTATGGTAACATTTTGGAAATCTTAAATTTTTTTATTTAAGTTTTTGTTACGTCCCAATATTCAGAATAGGTTTTATCCTATCTGTATTCTGTTTGGGAACCTCCTGAATTCCAAACTGCACGCAAAGACTTCTGCAGACTTTATGAGATAAACAAAACTGTTCAGTGGGCACTGAAGACTGAAGGGTCCGGTCGATCTGGCCACCAGAGTTCCAGACGAGACCAACCGCCCAATTAAGGGCCAGTGCCGTGGCCTGGGCTGCAGTTTAATCAGCCAAATAACTCTTAAGCGTGTCCCTCTAGAGTAAGCCGAAAGAGGCAAAGGGGAAGGTGGAGGTAACGGGTGTGGACAGTTGGCTCCCAGCCAAAACTTGATAAGGCAGGACTCAGGGAAATCTCTCCAAAAGAAGACAAAAACCTATCAAAATACTGAGGGGGAGGGAGAAGAGCCTGCACAACTCGTCACGAGGCACAGAACCCAGCAAAACAGATGCCCAGAATGAGAGGAAAGCTGAGGCAGAAGGAGGAGTCAAGTGACTGTGAAGCAGGGGTCAGAAGATGGAGTTGTCAGCCCTGGAGCAATTTAAATTACAACTAAGAATATCTGGACCCAGCGCTTTGAAAGCAAATTATGCATTTTGTCTCAGATCTGCCACTTTCGGTCAAGGTGGACAAGAGAGAGTGTCTCCGGTTCCTCTGGAAGAGGAAGATACCTCTGGAAGCTACTGACTTCCTGGACCTATTTCAGTGGGGCTTTTGGACAGGATACGGGGCTGGTTTGCTCATGTTGGTGGGTGAACTAGATAAAAAACTAGCTCTTTGACTTCTCAATGGTTCAAACTACTGAGATCTGCACTGCAAAATTCAGAGATAGCACTAATAAGTCCCATGCCACATGTCAGTCCAAGAAATATGTTCTAGGCCCTTTAGTCTCAAAATCGATAAACACTGCATTTGTGCCTCCTTATTTTCAGAGGCATTATAGTCTTTGTCTGCTGTTCCCACTATTTTTTTCTTAATTTGCTAGCTTATTTTTCTACTATGATTCTATTATATATTCTACAATTGCTTGCCATACATGTCTACTTAGAAGAAAAATTGGCCTATGTCTTGGCGCATTTTACTTTAAGGCTGCAGTCTTCATCTACATTCCAGCTGGGATATCTGTACTGTATTGATGAATGCCTGTCCTACGTAGGGAAAGGAGGACTGGAATGGCACGGCATCCTAACTGCCAGGCCTCTCCCAGACTAATACTGCAGCTCGAGGTCTCACAGAAAGAAATTCAAGGACACAGCCCTTGAAAGGCGTTCTGTGACAACATCCAGCAGTTGCAAAGGGTAACATGCAAGTTGCACAGATGGCAAAAGCAAAGCTCAGTGTTTATATTTGTTTTTCTCCTGCCTGTATGGGCTGAGGGCCTCTCACTTTTCCGCAGAAGAGGTTGACGCACATGTGCATTGCACTATTGCGATGGACCAGTCTGATCTCTTTGCTTCTGACTGTGCCAAATCTAGTCTTCATAAAATGGTGCCGCATAATTTCTTGCCACTCACTGAAATGTTCTGTTAGTAGGAATGACTGCTGCAGAACTAATTGCACACTATGAGGAATATGAAAACAGCATCATTCTTTACAATGGTAAGATAATCTGTTGTATTTTGGTTCAATAAATGATTATACATAATCAAAAAAAGACCCATCAGTTAATACCCGGCCAACTGTTAAGACAAATTTGCTGTGTCTGTACTACCAGTGATACGTCACATACTCAATGCAAATATTACCTAATTCAGCAAAAAAAAAAAAAAAAAAGTTTTGTAGCATCTTTAAAGACTAACCTATTTTCTTATCCCAAATGATTGAACGGCTAACATTCGTCCTCAGGTAAATGGAGTAAATTACTGTGAGATATATTTTATAATATTTCTCATGATGAGTTTAGTGGATTTTCATTCCATGTAGCTGAATCTGGTCCCTTCCATGGTTTTAATTAATTATTTTAGTTTCTTCCTCTTGTATTTTAATGTTATTGTATATTGAACTATTGAGTTTTCTACCCTTTTGTTCCAAAGAAGGCCCCCAATGTATCTTCCTAATCTAAACTATACAAACTAAACAATCAGAACAACATATTGATAGCAGCGTTTAGATTTTCAAAGCATAAATAATGAAAATAGCTTTCACCTGACCAGCAGTGAAAATACAAGAAAGGAGAAGCCAGGCCTAACTGGGGGAAGGGGGAGCACTTTGGAGATGCTAGCCCCACAAGACTACCCATCTCCCCACAGAGAACAGATGAAGAAGACCATATTAATAATCAGGCAGACCTTCAGAGTGAATATTTTGGCCTGCAATAATTCATGTTCTGAAACTGTTGTTATTAATTTGTAGGAAGTGGAGATTTTGAGGACTATTACTACGGTAAGAATACTGGGGGATCTAGAAAAGCATGGGGTGTCCTCTAGACGTGCCCAAGGGCATTTCCATACATCTCAACTACTTGTCAGAAAGATCTCCCTATCAATGGTCTTGGAGCAAACCCTTTATTTTCTCCATTCACCTGCCAAAGGGTCCACCACCTATTTCATGGAATCCATATCTGTTCTGATGATCTGGGGTTGCACGGGGCACATCTTCAGATTATACAGAATACTTGTGTTAGGCTTTTTTTAGCCTCATTCCTTGCAGAATGAGAAACTACACTCTAGAATTCACCCAGATGCACTCACATTTTAAGTTTATTTGATGTTTTTTCTCCCAAATGACATTTTAAAATGCAGCTCAAATATTTTACACGCCTAGTCCCTCCCCCCAATCAAATCCTTTTGGAAAGGTCTACCCAGGAGCTGAGCTTGACTCAAAGCAGACTTGCCTTGGGGGGAAGGGGAATTCCTGTAGGTCTAGAATTTTCTTTTCAGTAGCGGGACTCTCTCAAAAAGCACTCCTTCCTATTCTGCTAAGATAGGAACCAACAAGAAGGAGAACTGCTTATAAAGGGAATCTGCTGAACACCGAGCTAGTAACTGAAGAATGATATAGCAGGACTTGTAGCCCTATCCTCCCTGACACACAATGTGTTTGACAGCAAGATGGGGGTGTGAGAGCTTCATAGATGAGGAGCACCAAAAAAGCGTCTCAGTGTTTACACAACTTGATTACTACAGTTCTTTAGAAGACCATGATACATTCTTTTAAAACAGTTTTCAACATTTTGCCATTAGACGTTCACTGTGATTATCTTAAATACTCTGTACCTTTTCAGATAACTCCACATATGATTACACAGACGATTGGTTGAAAGCAAATGTAAGTTATCTGCACAAGAATCTCTCCTTCCTGTAAAATTTCTATCTGCAGAGAGGCACTAGTGTGTCATTTCCTAAATAGGGCACAAGCATGCCTTGCCACCATCATTTTTTGCCATGTCAGCATGACTTTACCTTCATCTCATGCCCAGCCCATAAGTGAGGTAGGCTTGTCATCTTAGCTGTACCAATGTTAATGTAACATTTTCTCCTTATTCTGACACGCCTCAAGAGCAGCTTCAAGAAGTATAAGATCAGTTAGGCTGTGGGATGCATGTCCTCAAAGAGAAGCCAGATGATTGGAAGTGACTAGAAACAGTAGCTGTAGAGGCAAAAAAGATAGCTCGTTTTATGCCAACAGTTTTCTAGACAGCATTTCAATTCAACAGTGAGAAAAGTCCCTGCAAGAGCAAGTCAAGGGGCCGGGCAAAACAATTAAGTCTCCAAACATGCAAACATCCAGTTTGTGACACTGCTGAGCTGGCTAATTGCTTGCAAAGCCGCCACCTTCCCAACAGAGTGCTCCCTGCTTGGGTCGCCACCCTGACTCTGTTTCTTTTTGTAGAATTCCACAAATGCTGCAGGGGTTTTACTCCCACATTACTGCTGCTTCCTCACCACTATTCTTCACGTGATACAGTTCCTCCAGCAAGACTTCCAGTTTCAAGTTTAGAATGTGTGGGACTCTTCGGATATTAACCTGCATAACC